AAGTGTAATTCGGCTAGCAAGTTTGGAAGAAGTGTTCAGTAGATAAAAAGAAAGGAACATGTCTTTCGGCGGGGAAAAAAAATAGAGGGTTGCTGTAGGAGAGTTGGTCACCAAATTTTCGCCAAAAAACACCAAGTTACCATAATGTAAAGATCAACCATCATTTTATATAATTACAAATTATTTCTTTCGGCAAAATACTCTTTTCTTCTAAAAAACTATACTTTCTTTTCAGTTGACAGTGGATTGAAAGAAGTAAGCATGCTAAATATTTGCAATGAAAAACTGATATAATTTAAAAGTGAGTATGTTCATTAGCCGAAAAATGTGAACTATGAGCATGCGGAAAAAACTGTTACATTTCAAAATCAAAGGTAGAAGAAATGCATATGCGCAAATCAGCAACCCATAAAAAATCACTATATCTTAAAAGAGAAAAATTTTATTAGCCGATGAACTGTGAATGATGATCATGAACTAAAAATAATTACATTTTAAAAGCAACTCTAGAAGAAATGAATATGCTCAGAGTGGTAAGCGTGCTTGCTTCTTGTCAAAGCAGAAGTATGCCAAATCATTCTCGCCAAAGCCACAACACAAATAATATTAACCAAATGATATTAGTCATAAATTAAATGTATAACTTTTTTATGAGATAAAATAACTTTTCAAATTTATTTATCACTAATTTACCTCACATTAGTCAAATTTAAAATCATTTAAAACATTACTTCAAGTTCCTATAAAAATTGTGCACCAACAAACACAAAGCACTATTTTTCTAGTTTTTACTAGAAGCTAAATTATTAGAAATCAATTTCAGCACTACAAAATTATCTGAATTTTTCCCATGCAAAATTGGTAATTAAACCTTCAAATTATTTTAGCACTTCAAATCATTACTTATGATAAAGTAATAGGAAAAGTTTAACACATGAAAAACTTTCTTTACTTGTTTGCTTTTCCCCATTCATTTACAATAATTATATGTTCTTAACAGTTATTATTATATAAAAATTACAAATAAGATATTTTGTTATACATAATATACTAATCTTCAAGGATTTTTCCAAATAAAATTATATGTTAATATACATATTGATCACTTGGATATGCAATCACCAATATAGTACTAGCCTGATACTGTTACCTGAAATGGCAGAACTGAATATTGGAAGATACAAGAAAGATATCAAATACATCGTCTTTACATACTGAATAACTTCCGTCAAATTTTTTCTTCAGTTGGCGCAATCTCTTATGGTGGAACCTGAAATTCAGCCCAGTTAGAGATAAATATATAATTTTCCTAACAGATTATATATATAATTAAAGTGTATATTAAACAAAAAAAAAAAAAAAAAAAAAAAAAAAAAAGATTTACATGTTAAATCCAAGATCTTTCTTGTAACACCAAAGAACTGTTGGTTTTGGAATATTAGCATCTTCTCTAGATTTTGACAAAATTCGATACAGGAACACAAGCTGAATATTTAAAAATGAAAGATTTAAGTTATACTAATACTAGCATTTTCAAATAATCAAGAAAAAATAATGTCGTATCAAAATACTACAGTACCACTGAACTTACTTGTTCTCTAGCCTTTTCTCCAAGAATAAAAAACATAGATCTATAACGATATGAAACACAGTTTTCAATGACATATCGAATTCTTTTATCTATTTTCTTACAACCCATTTTTCCCCGCTGTGCATTGAGCATAAGCAAAACGCATTGAGTATAAGTTTGTAAACAAAAACATGCGGTAAAATTTCAAAAAAGTACGCATAATATCGATGCCATTACAATGCACATAATAGTCTAAATGTTACGCTTTTCTCAGTACGTTAGCTTTAGGCCACATTTAGGAAATACAATTTTCACACATAAGGACTAAAAAATGCGGTTTATTAAATAAAATTAATTCCCATTTTAGCATTAATAAACACTTTTACATTTTCAATGCATAAACGTTTCGCATTTTCAACCGTAACTAAAAGTGATAGTGAAATATTTAAGTTCTTCGTAAAAATTGGCTAGTGCTAACTAATTTTGAGCGACTAACTAAATTTTATTGCTCCCAATTTACCTAATTTTTGGTTTTGCTTTGTTTGGATAATTTGATTACGATAAAGCACCCTTGGGCTGTCTGTCTGAGAAAAAGAATGCCTTCGTGGAATACTTTCTAAGGAAAATTGGCTCGTATTCACAGTAAACATGAGAAAAACAACCAAAACAACATTGCAGCCAGTCTTGTCACCTGAAATCCAACCCATTTCGAACTACCACTGCTCAACAAATTTACCGTTCTCTCGTAGGTGCGCTCTCACATCCTTTTATTTTTTATATTTAACTTTTCGTCACATTGTATTTCAAGGTGTTCTGTAGAAAAGGAAATGGTTTAGCCGTTTTTAAATAATGCGAACTTTGATGTTTAACTCTCTCGAGTGTGATTGAAGCAAATTCATTTAGATAGACTTAGACAAACATGGTCACAGAAACATTATTGTTGTTACAGTATGTTTAGAAAGTTTAAATACTAATTTTTTAAATAAATTCCAGCAAACCTACACCTTCCCCGCTCATTATTGCCATAATGAGCAATTAGTTGCGTCTGGCACTGGGCCTAATTTGTAAATTAATGAAACTTAATTGGTTGATCTTTAGATTATAGTAACTTGGCGATTTTGTGGCGAAAATTTGGCGACCAACTCTCCTACAGCAACACACTATTTTTTTTCCCCGCCACCATTACGAATAAGGCATGTTTCGTATCTAACTGAACTTTCTTTATCATCTACAGTCTTCCCTTTTGCTAGAAATTGATCTAACAAAACTGCTCAAATGCACAAATTGGGAAAAGTCACAAACCATACTCCTTACGCGTTTTTCAAAATAACACATACACATAAACATGTACACGTCGACTTATTTACTTAAAACTCCAGAATGACACTAAAATGGCACTGCGCACACTCTTCACTATATCCATGTACACTGCTTTTTCTCATAAATTAGAAAAATTTCCGAAAATAATGACAATTTTTTGAATCTTTAAACCCGGTAAAGAACCTAAAATTACCTGATCGCGAAAAAGTATATAACCTTTCCAAATATGAACATTTCCACATATAAAATAAATAAAATATCCAAAAACGTTTACCTCTAAATCATCTAATATTATAAACGTCACCAACGAATTCAACCGCAAGCATTACAAATACTTAGTGTCATATTTAAATTATTTCCATGGACTTTACCTCAACTAAACGTATTATACCAAATTCCTACAAACATAAAATTAACAAAAAAACTATCATTTAATTAAAATATCACAAACCATGTACACGTCGACTTATTTTTACTAAAAAAAAATCCCAGAATTGCACAAAAATGGCATTGCGCACCTCTTCACCATATCCATGTCACTGCTTTTTTTCATAAATTAGAAAAATTTCACGAAAATGCTGACAATTTCTCAATCTTTAAAAAAAAAGAACATATAGAAAATACCCATAACGAAAAGTATATACCCTTTCCAAATATGAACATTTCCACGTATAAAATAAATAAAATATCCAAAAAACACCTCTAATATCTATATATTCTAAAAACTCACCAACGAATTCATACCGCAAACATACAAATCTTAGTGTCAAATATTTAAATTATTCCATGCACGTTTACTTCAACTAAAACGTATACCAAATTCCTACACATAAAATTTCACAAAATAACTATCATTCATTAAAATATAATTAAATTCAAAATCCCTACTTAAATATAAATGAGCACACATTAAATTTAAAAAATAGCTTACATCCTAATTACTTTAAACTAAAACTTGCTAATAACTATTTTCCAAAAATACCAAATTACTTTACTCCACCTTACATTAGAACAAGCATAAAATATATCCTAAAATAATTAAAAATCTAACTTACCTAATCTTCTTCAGAATCTTGCTTACATGGTGGATCCACTTTTATTATGTATAATAAAATTATTGAACGGATTTTTTCTGCGATTTTTCTTCCACACTTCCTCGCTAAATAAAAAGCAAAATTCTCTTTCACAATGACTCGGAATGCGCTTTTGTAGATCCACGGGTGCCCTCTATTGTATTGGGGGTATGGGCAACCTGTTTCCGGATCTTTAAAAATAATATTTGTGGTCACAGCAGATGTGTTTAAAACCTTCATCTTCCAAACATTCATACGATTTTCACTTTAGACAACGCCATACAATCCCAAAATTATTCAACCCTACTTCACACAACACACAATGAGCTTCATACCAAATAAGTAAGCCCAGATATTTTTCCAAATCCCCCCCTTTTCCGATTAAAGAACCGTAAATTCGTTTTCCATTAATATTACATGACATATCCCATGATCTCTCATTCCCTCACACAAAATAATAAGCGTATTCGGAAATGGGCTGCTCACATTTTTACCAAGTCCCAGGTAGTAACCTTTATCGCCTCCAAAATGTCGCCAAAGTACCAGTTACCATATTCTAAAGATCAGCCACTTAATTTTCCGGATAATTTCATTTACATTATTGTTTCTTTTCCTCCATAGCAGATCATTCAGCGTTTGAACTGGAATCACCTACACATTGAGGATGCCGATTAAAGGTTTTTCCAAAGATTATATTTAAAGTCTCTGAGTATTCCTATAGTATATATACTTATGAAATTCAACCATGCCCTAAAATTCAAATATCATTCTTGGCTTATGATATACTTAATCTGATATAGGTCCAAAACACATAAAAATATTTACAATTAACTTCAGCATTATCTTGAATTACTAGAAGCATGACTTTTACAGGTTAGAGTGTATCAAATAATAAGAATAATAAGAGTGTATCAAATAATAAGTTTTATTTTGAAAATATCAGTCTACCTTCGATTCCCGCGTTATTTGAAGGTATCCGCTGTAAAAGAAATCACATACCAAGGCATAATACATGATAACAATCTCACTTTTAGACTCTTCAAAACTCAAGAATAAATTTAATATATCCACAGCTATTTTCAGACCTCAGATATTCTTCGAAGAACAGCCTTGATGGTGTCAATTTGGCTCCTTTAAGGATGTGGGCGACATTTTATTACGCCAACAAAAGTAAATATTATGTGAGGAATACGAGCTAGGGAGAAGAGGAAAATATATGGGATTTTTCTGTTGGAAGTTACGAAACGTTTAGTTCTATTTTTGCCAACTAAATAAAGTTTCGTTCACTAATTCTCGTAAAGCTTGATGGTTTATTTGGTTTATGTATTCCTTTTTGAATACTGAGAAATATTTACAACATACTCTATCATTAATTTTAAAATAAACCAGCCAATGGTATTCAAGTATTTATGCATGTTCAAAGTTATGTGCTTTTGCTCAGATTTTGGAACCACATACTATGTTGTTTGTGGCCCAACAATTTTCAAGAAAATAAATTTTTTTCTTCGTCAATTAATTTACGATTTACATAATTTGCTACATCAAATTTTTCAGCTTGTAGAGGAATTTTAATTTCATCAGAAAGGTTGGTCGAGATACTTGAATCACAATCAAACGTAATTGTAGATGTAGAACTTTGAGGATGAGTTTCACTTTCATCTTGCTGTTTAGCTGATCTGTCGCCCAAACTGTATAGTGGTTAGTGTCATTGAGCGTTGTATATAAGGGCCTGGGTTCGATTCCCGATTAAGTTATGGATGTTTGTAAGCGTGTGGTGTCTATGTGTTAGAAGGACAACTTAGCAACTTTCATCACGGACAACTAGATATATCGATTTTGCTTTGATTCCATCAGTAACAAAATATTAGCGATACCTAATATGTTTAAACGGATGCACAAATGCCGGCCTTGCTTCAACTGTATCTGTTAGCTGTTTTTCAAAATGACTACATGTGAAGCGGTAATATGGACACATCCGGTAACTGCCAGAAAAATAAGAACACTTAGAACGATACAAAGACCTTGTTTACTGCAGATTTCTAAGGCCTGGAAAACGACATCAAATTGTAGCCCTAAATATTCTTGTGGTAGTAATTCCCTCAACAGTATGACAGAAACTGTTACAGCAAATATTAAATTTCTACAACTGCAACAGAGTAGGGAACTGAGAGGGCAACTGTTCATCCCAAATCAGTTTGAATAAAAATCTCTTCCCTACTGAAAACATTCGGTATCTCCTGTGAGCAAAGTAAAATTTGATATCTTGTACGGATCCTAAGTTTTACTAACGTTTATTTTGTTTTAAATCTTTACTATCACTTCTTATTTTCTACTTCCAGCCAGAATTAAAAGCTTTAACTTATTTATGCAAATTTGTCTTGCTAACGCCAAGTACTTAAGTTGTGGCTTTTTGCCAAGCAAGAGAGAGAGGAAGGAGTTATTAGAAGCAGGCCGCTTGCCATAGTAGTTTACTCGTTTGCTGGTTGCCTTCAAGGCCAGAGGTTTAATCCTCTTGATAATTTTAAACGTATCGTAGTTTTAGCAGCTCTCTGTACTACATACGGATTTTGTTAAATAACGGCCAATCTTGAAGTTAGGCACTTACTTATTAATCCAAAGTTAGTTTAGTTAGAGTTTTAGTTAATATTTTTATATTCTTACGTTCAGACCACAAGTGGTTGGTCTCTGTATTCCGAAGTTCCGGAAATCGCTGTAAAGATAGAAAAATAAAGGGTATCGTATACCCTTCCTGTGTGTATTGTCTACTTCTCAATTTATTGAACATAGCTTCAGTAAGCTCTCTGTTCCGAGTCA